TTAAGGTGACCAGCTTCTTCACAAAAATAATAAAAACTTTTTGTAAAGTTTCTAAAAGAATGTTCGAAAACTTTTCCCAATTATTAGAACGAAAAATTATTTAGAAAAATTATAGAAAAGAAAAATTATTTTTGTTCGACAATCTCTGCTGGATATTTTCGTGCTTTCTTGGAATATTAAATTGGAAAGGAGAAGCAGTAAGTTTTCAAATATCCGTTTAGATATCTACCAATTTTGTAATTTTCTGAGGACGCAGGGCAGATTACGCGTAACTGAGCAATAATTACGCTTAATTAATTTAACCAATTATATACCAACATTTGAAAATATTCCAGAACAAATTACGGTATAAAGTACCGGGTGCATCATCCGTAAAATCCATTATTACAGTAAAGTATAATACCATAATTTTTACAGTAATATTTATTTAAAAAGTGTGACTCTGTAGGATTACGGTAATCATCACTGTATAACTTACGGTATATCAGACTTTTTGTTCAGTAAACATGTTCCAGTAAAAATGGATTTTATAGTAAAAAGTACCGACACCCTGATTGCAGGCACTTTTAACCTTAATTTGTTACAGAATTTTTTAGCATGAATGTTCTCATTTTAGGAATTTGTTCTTTGAAAAGCAAAAAGAATGGTGGTTTAATTATTTCAAACGTTTATTTTATTGTTATATTATTTTTTGATATATTAAGTAGTTCGTGTCAGGCATAAATATGTTGCTTATTTAAATGTCTTAATGTTGATCTGTAATCAATGGATTTCAATTTTTTTTAAAAAAAAATAACGATAATAACCAATAATAAAAAATTGTTTGAAATACATATGCCCTTGCACTTTTCTAAAAAAACTTCACTATAAACTGTAGCACTTGTCCCCTTAAGTGAGGAATGGGTCAACCCCCTGATATCAGATTTTTAATGGAACGAAAATAGAAAAATAAATATTATAATTAAACAAAAATGTTTAACCCTTATAATAAAGCTGAGTGGGTGTTATAATATTAGCACTTTACCACTTTATTCCGCATCGTTATTTAGCACTTTACCACTTTATTAATTACCACTTTATTCCTTATAGATCGTAATTCTTTGATTTTACATCCAAATAATGAACCAACATTTCAAGATTGCAAATACTTTAATAAAGAAAAGGCCTTGGCATTCATATTTAGATTAATTTGATATTATTTAGTATTGGCTGACTATCCCTTAAATTTTGAAATATCGTAAAGTTGTGTCGATACTTTTAATATATATATATATATATACNCAGAGTGCAAAGATTAAACTGCATTCGTTTTTTGATGACAGAAACACGTTTAAAATTTAAGCCTAGATTGCAAAGGTTTAATCACATCAAAATACATTTATATCCTTTATTTTTGTTTTTCAATCAATTTCTCTTTTTTGCTTTTACCAAGTTCATTATACACAATCCAAAGCCTAATAAATTTCTTAACACTTGACATTATTGATATCTTTGGAGACAAGCAAATTTTCGCCTCCCTTCTATTAACAGCAACGACAGCTTATCAGTCTTGTTGTTATGACAACAGAGGCGACATATTTGGGTCTGAATACAAATCGGGGACCCGAACGGAGAAGCCGGGCGTGATAAATAGTTCCTTCAAAGGACAGATTTGACCAGTGGGGAAGTTGGGCGGGTAAAAATGATATATGTCCAACATGGACGCGCAGTGACTGGGTGCGTTAATTAAACATGCATTCTGATTAAACGATATGCGTGTCCCGCACACCAATATCGCGGCGGTTTTAATTTCATAAACACTGCGGAGCTCGAAAGATACCGTGCCTCTCAACTAAAGTGCCTTTATCAGCATAATGCAAGAGCTTACAATACACCCTCTGTGAAAGAGGTGTAAACCAACATATTTTTCATCAAAATAGTCGCCGCTTGAGGCTTAAGTAGTTCGGATGCTTACTTTAAAGTGTTATTAATCTGCTATATACACATTTAAGAATAGAAAGAGACAAACCATACATATTCCCTCCTTTTAATATTCTTAGCGTAATCTCTATAGTGATGCAACCAAATGTAAAAAATACAAAAAATGTGAAAAATGCAATGCAAAAAATTCAAAATGTTTAATGCAACGGCAGTAGTTTTCCATTTAAAGTTAAAATGTTGCAGACAATATATGTTGAAATACATTGCAAAAACCTTTATAATCTTTCAGCGTGAATAGCTATAGAGATGGTATATTAAACAAACAAATTAACAAAAATATTCTTGGAGTTTAATGCAATGATGTGACATCAGTGTTCCATTAAAAAACAAAATATTTGTAGCCAATATATGTTGGAATATGTTGTAAACAATATATGTTAGAATACATTGCAAAAACATTTATAATCTTTCAGCGTGAATGGCTATAGTAATGGTATACTAAATAAACAAATTTAAGAAATATTCTTAGAATTTAATGCAATGATTTGAATGAATTTGTTATTTAGTAATGGTATACTAAATAAACAAATTTAAGAAATATTCTTAGAATTTAATGCAATGATGTGACATCAGTGTTCCATTAAAAGTCAAAATGTTTGTAACCAATACATGTTGGAATATATCGGCTACAACATTTATAATATATTTAGTGTGGATCGTTACAGTTATAGTATGTTAAACAACCAAATATTAATGTCTAAATATGAAATAATATGAATGTTAATGTCTAAAATGTCTAAATATTAAATCAATGTTTTCTGAAATTTAATTGTATTTGCTATTATTTTTCTTCCTTCATTCAAAATATATTGAACTAAGACTCAATAACTAAACTAAATTTAAACTGGATTTTTCATAACATAGTGATAGTGACATTTATTTTAATTACATATTCATTCTACTTTACTACAAGATAGTAATATTTATTAACGTGATTAATGCTCCCAAACAAATATGACATGCACGAATATCAAATAATTTTTCATGAAAAACAAAAGAAAGGCTTTTTGAGAAATAACAAATATATATTAATTTATATTGTTTCATTTGAATAAGATTATATTAAGATTCAAAATAAAGTAACTAAAATGTATGATAAAAGTTTTTGTTTCTTAATTAACTTTATTTTAATTACAAATTTACTTATAGTCGAGGTAAAATAAAAATGTTTAAGTACACCCGAGATTTTAAATAAAATATGCAACGAAGCCATTTTAATTTTTTTTTTTTTAATTCGAGCCTATAGTTTTATTTTAACCACGTCTCAAAAATTTATGATTGCATATACACTTTAAAAGATGACGAAAATTTAATCTTTTCTGACATATTGTGATGAAACAAGTGGGTTGACTCAGAAGCAATCATTATTATTTTTAATTAAAACCATTATATCTGATCACTACATATTTGATGAATTTTCTTCTTGTTCAAATTTTCATTCCGAAAATCATTTGAAATAATCTCTAATATTTACTTAGGAGAGATTACTTTTGACAGATGCATTTATTTATACATAATTTCATCCCAATATCTTAAGAAAAAGTAGTTTTACTAAGTTTAGAAAACAGGTGTAATACGTGCCACAAAATTCGTGATAAAAAATATCATAACTACTAGCTCTGGCTGTGAAATTGCTTATTGATAATAGCTATTGAAAAACCCATCCTCAAATCTCAAAGAAAGTTCATGACTTCGGTAGGTGACAGCAAAACATTTTTCATTTTATCGATATCAAACTTGTCCATTTTTAGCATTAATCTTCGATGTATTATATGTTATCTTCTCCCCTCAAAGAATTTCTTTTCTACTTATTATTTTGTTCCTGCATTTTGATTGAAAAGCTGAGGAAAAAAAATAAAAACTGGGCAAATATCATCAGTAATTAGTCATTTTTCGCATGTCTATTAGCTAAGTGAGAAAGGCGGGTAAATGTACTGCTCAGTGATTGGTTGAGAATGAAACGGCGAAGAAGCAAGGCGCTTTGGTGTTTACATTGGCGGCCATGTTGAATATTTAATGATTCTCCGCCATTGGTATGGAGCGGTACTCAAACAACTGGGACTTGTTGTTTTATGGCCTAATAAAACCACCATTTACGCGCTTGATAAACGGGTAAGGTCAGGGTTAACAGTTCATTCAGAATCTTTGAAGACATTTATCTGTGTTTATTGCCCATTTAAACGGATGAGACCGTTCTTTCAATTTAGATCAATCGAAAATTTTTATTGTAATTTATGCTGCAACTAATATGTCTTGAAATATCATTGTCTGAAGAATTAACACCCTATAATGAAGATTTGTTACCCTAGTAGTATTACTTTTAACACTCCTAATATTTATATACCCCATCAGCAATAAATTTATGACTTGAAATTTGTTTATTTTTTTAAGAGAAGATGCATGATTTTGCAATGTTTTGTATGATTGTTTTGGCGAAAGAGAATAATTCCGTTCTTTAAATAACTTTCCACTTACTGTGTTAAATATTTAGATTTGAATGGTTTAAACAAATATAAATTAATATTCTAAAGCTATTGCTTTAGAAGTAATTAAATATTTCACAAATATATGCTATAGGGTATAAAGCAATTTAATTAACAACTATAAATTGAGTAATGTTTACGTTTAAAGTAAAATGCTAAAGTAAAAATGTGCTTTATAATGGTTTTCAGACATATTTCAGTTATATTTTTTTCTCTTGTAATAGTTATAAACATATAATATATATATA